GGTTAGTTGCTCTGCGCTACAAAAATAAGTTAATCTGTCTCATCTTTATGTAGGCTGGGCAAAGTCAAAACAAATTGAGAAACTTGTTTGAAGGTCAGACAGAAAACTGGCTTAAAGTAAGCTTATGCAGTTAAACTTCAGAGACCACTATAAAGCTAGGGAAGAGCCATTTCCTTTCAAAACTCATTTGAGGCCAGGATGGGGGGGAATACATTGGTCTGTAAAGAAAACGCAAAGGCAAACATGTGGTAACAAGGGGAAAAAAAAATAAATCGCATCAGTAGATGATGTTAGACTGACAAAAATAATCCAGCTAATAGATTGTGAACAAAGTGCTACGCTTTGTTGACATTTGAACTGAATACAGGAATTACTGAAATTCATATTTTCCTTCAAAGCTTTAGTATCACTTTCAAAGAAAAAAAAAAAAAAATCAAATTGCTATGCCACTGTATGGGTACCTCACACAAGTTCAGGCAAACAAAGTAAAGGCAGATCTGGATGTCACCTTATTTCCTCAGATCACTTTAACATTAAATGTATTAACACTTGTAGAACACCCAAATCCTGTGCTGAAGACACAAGCTGGTAACCAGTAAATCTGCATTCAGCTCAGTGTTTTCCTGAAGATTGTAATAAAGATAGTACAGATCCATTTACTGAATAACTAGAATGATGAACAAGTGAATGCTCATTCATAGAGTAGCCCTTCAGGGGACAAGCTCCCTCACCCCCTCCAAGGGGGGTTGTCCCCGAAGTGTTTGCTCTCCTATTGTTTGCATCTTGGGAGATGTGCAAGAGATCAGAAAATCAGTTTATGCACTGTAAGATGCACAATGTTGCAACTCCCCACCATCCGTAGTGTCAGGTTCCCAAACTTCACAGGTTAGGCCAGTCTCTTGATTGCTTCCCTGGTCAGATCAGACTTCTGAAAGTTTCTTTAATGTGCATCCAGCAGAGATGGCACCTTCTCTGGGGAAAGCAAAAGGCTGAATCTTGTCACAAACTAGAAGTATTCATGGGTCAATAGGCATGGGGAAAGCCACAGCACTTTGTGGAGTACAGTATGAACCCATAAATATTTATGAGGTGCAAATACTCACAGGCTACATCTATTAGTGAGCTAAAAGGGTGACAGAACAGTCCACTGTCAGTCTAAATCAAAACTGTGCCAGCTAACACTCTACCAGACAGTATCTGCCACTTCTCAGGGTTCAGCAGAGGCCAGGGACCATTTCAGATAAGCAGATTAGGTGTAGATGCTCTGTTTTGGCAGAAATAAACTAAGCTATACAAAGGCAAACTGAGCTTTTACTCATTTAGTATAGATGCTGCTCAAGTCTGTGGGAAGTGGCATATTCTCCACCTGAATCACCGCACAGTTTTCCCATAACATATGATCTGATGCCTAACAGAAGTGCATGGGATATAACACTCCTTTCACAACAGCCAAGTGTAGGTGCCAGATGTACAGGTATATTCCTGACATGTAAGACCAGAGTGGTGTGCTAGCACTAGAAGCAGTACAACATTTGGTGACTGCTGGCATCAAGAGGCCCCTGTGCCTTCTGACCAAGAAGCATGACTGAACAGAATGTCAGCCCCTTCCTGCTCTTTATTAGTGTCCTCCTTTTAGCTGGGATAGAGTTAATTGTTTTCCTAATAGCTGGTGCAGTGCTGTGTTTTGGCTTAATCTGAGAATAATGCTGATAACACACAAATGTTTTAGCTGCTCCTAAGGAGTGCTTATCAAGAACTTTTCAGTCCCTCATGTCCTGCCAGTGAGGAGGGGCACAAGAAGCCAGGAGGAAGAAGAGACAGGACACCTGAACCAAACTAGCCAAAGGTATATTCCATACCACAGCACATCATGCCCGGTACATAAATTGGGGGCAGTTACCCAGATAGCCAGATTGCTGCTCCAGTTGAGTTGGGTATCAGTCAGCAGATGGTAAGCAGTTGTATTGGGCATCACTTGGTCTTTGGTTATGTGGGGTTTCTTTGGCTTTGTTTTGCATTTCCCCCCACCTTAGGTTTTAGTCCTCTCCCCCCTCCCCTTTCATTATTATTATATTTTACTTTATTTCAATTATTAAACTGCTCTTATCTCAACCCATAAGTTTTACTAGTTTCCTGCCACTTGTTTCACTCCCAGGAGGGAGTGAACAAGCAGCTGTGTGGTCCTTCATTGACAGTCAGGCTTAAACTACAACAATCAGCTATCGATTCTGTTAAATAAGACCTTATTTGTGTTTCCAGTCTAACGGCACCTTCCTATCTCCTCTCATATTAACAGTTAAAACAAGATTCCTCACAAATCTTCACACTAAATCCCTCAAATATATTGAAACTAAACATTTACTTTTATGAACTGATGTTGCTTTAGCAATATGACTTGTGCCACGTTATATAAGTTAACATCTCCAGTTTTCTCAGTTTTAGAATACTTTCCACAGTATCTCATGAATAGTTTTCCATGGTGGAAACATGCAATGTGCACTGTGATTGCTGGCCAGTAGAGGGAGACGGGATACTGTCGTCAAATAGAAATCGGAACGGATTTCAAAAGATGCCAATAGAACAGAACAGAACCCCATTTTTAACTTCTTCCCTTGATTGCTAATAACTTATATGAAGGGAGGCAAGAAGTGAGCCCTTATATATTGTTTTAGCTCTAGGATTACTAAAAACTTGAATTCAAATATTCAGAGAACTGTTACAAGATTCATTCACTCACACTCTGCTTCTCAAAGCGTCAGCTTCACACTGGCTCACCAACTGGAAATGAAACTGCAACTTCTTTACATTACCAGCATTATCTCAACACTGCTTCAGCAATGAAAACTGCCATCAGGCACGATTTCACATAATCAACCAAGAGATCTGGGGAATCCAAAGGAATGGGTGACCTTCCCTAACTAACCAGTTCATGGAAGTACAGAAGTACAGAAAATTCACCTCCCCAAATGCAACAGTGACCAAGCTCACACCTTTAACCCAGGTGACCACTGACAGCTGAGAACTCAACAGGTCATGCCAACAAGCTGCAGGTACAAACTCCCAACAGATTATTCTCACAGTATGAGATAAATCCCAATCAAAAGGAAGCTAATAGTCTTTAAGACGAGCTGAAAGAGTGACAGTAAACACTACCATCCCAAATTTGACCATTCAGGTCAAGAGGTCTGAACAGTCCAGAGCTGACAGTGATTCTCTTTTTCCCCTCCAAGATGGTGAAAAAGTCAACATAATCAACCTCCTAAAGAAGCAAGCTTCTGAGAGGGAAAGAAATCTCTCAGAAGGAATGTGGCAAGAAGCATTCATTAGTATTGTATCTAAATGTAACAGATACTTTTAATTAGAGCTTACAGTGCTTGCATAGAGTCCGTGTGAGTGGTGAAATGAAGAGCAGATGCAGCTGAAAAACTATCAAAACAGTCAAGTGGAATATACATAGAAAGTCAACAACGTGAACATTTAAACTCTGTAGGACTGATGTCTCTGTACTTGAAAGCTCTTCCTCTAAGTCTGCAGGCTGCTTTTTTCCACCTCTACCACACATCAGGTATCTTTTGACTACAAGATTTGTTGTCCGGTAAAGCACATGGAAGAGCCCTAGGGAAATAAAAGCAACTGTTCCATGGATACCAAGGTGCTGAAAGATAAAGTTTCCAGTAGAAGTCTGGCTTTCTAGGTAAAGGAGGAAATAATCTAACACGAGACACTGGTGACTACTGACTTTGACATTCAGCATTGCCTTCTCAGCTACCAGACCAGTAAGCAGAAGGAGATCCATTGGCACACAGGCAGAATCTCAGTCACAGCTGTGCTCAAGTTACGACGCTAGTACTGGATAGGATACTTACCTGTAAGGACTCAGCCAAGGTATCAGAGGCAACACACAGAAGCCCCAGTGTGCTCAGACTCATGAGGGACACTCCCTCACTAGCAGGATGCCTGGATAATCCAAAGAATCCAGTGATGAAGTTAAAGTTGCTTTTTTTGTACTGAGCAGCAACTGAAGTGCCAGCGCTTTAGCCATGCTGCAGAACATTAGAAGGATGCTCATCATTGTATGAACAGGCTGTGTGCAGTGCTCTTGATCCACCCTACTACTTGGCCTTATTGTGCAATGTAGGCTTTCCACCCTTCAGATCACACCACCTGGCCTAACATTATATGATACACATGATGATTCTGTGAACTTTTTAGGATGAAGTATCTATTACATGGTTGCCTCTGACTTGTGGAAAGCTTAAGTCTAATTGAGCAGTACATTCCAGACCAAAATTACTTAATGGGCTTAGTTAAGCAAGAATTGGAGCATCTTTAAAAGGAAGAGCACACTGAAACGAAAACCAAAGCAAGCCAAAACACACCAATTGCAAAATCCAGGAAACAAAAAGAAAACCACAGCTTTCTACCATGCTACAGAGCAGATTAGTCTGTTTCTATAGCAGGCAGCTAATGCTGTCTTTTGGCAAACACACTCTTCAGACAGAGCCAAGAGTCTAGCAGATGATTTAGTGATTAAAAGCAAAATGAGAAACCGAAAACAAAAATTTTCTGGAAAATGTAATAATTTGCATAATCAAGCCATCCATTTTAGTCCTAAACTGCCTTACCAATATAGCTGGAACAGGCTCAAAACACCTGGATATTCTTTAGCTATTGCACAGGGATCTTTATATAAAATGTCTTTATGTAAATTCTGATAGCCATGAAGAAGCCAGTATAAGTTTGGGCTTGTCTGAAAGGCTTTTGGATAGTGATTCCAACTGCAAAATAAATTATATCATCTTCTGTTCTGCGAGGAAGTCTTCCCCCAGCTCCTCCTCTGGTACAACAGGACAGATACAGTTGAAACAATACGGTTTTGTACAGTCAAAGCACAGCCTTAAGAGAGAATTTCTCAACAAGAGATCAAATGCAACACTAAGGAAACAGTCATGTAAAAAAATTAACTGCAAGCAAAAGCAGACTGAAAGGAGAATACTCACTTGTAGCGTAGTGTCGAAAACAACAAGCTTAGAGCTTGTTGGAACAATGTCATAACACTTGTGTGACCTCATGAATCGCACATAAATGTCACTTTCCGATTCTTCAAGTGCTGTAAGTAAAAACATTATGTTGTTTTATTTAAGTAACCTTAAAGTTAAAAACATGTCAAATCAATCAAACACCACTGCAGAAGGACAATCCTAAAGCAAAACTCAAATTCATACTTTCAGATCTGGACCGACAGTCAGTCTTACACTTTGCATTTCAGATTCATCTTTCAAATTAAATGGCCAAAATGTATTGGTATGAAAGTCCTTTCTTATCAAGAATTAATAAAGAGCTATATTTAAAACAAAAAAAAACCCTGTTTTTCTAACAGCAAACTATTGGAATATGCATCTGAATTCTAGTTATGTACAGGGGAAGCCAGTCTGAAACTGAAGTAATGCCAGGCTTGTCTAACTCAAGCTCTTTAAATGAGTATTTCTTCAATCTCATCTCTGTCCAGTCTACTTTCCACATAGTAATTTTGTATTTTCAAAAGAGGGTGCAGGCAAGTTATGTCATCAGTTCTATTCCCTTCAGGCTATTTCACATACAGCATCATGAACCCAAAACTTCATAAAAACAGGATCCACTTGGCTGCAATGGCTTTAGTGCAGCACATCTGTAGCAACAACATGCAATCCAGTCCATATTGCCTTAGATCTACTTTGCATATGTCAGAGTCCAGATGCATACACAAACATTATGCAGATCTGCTCAGGTGCGTGGGGTTTTCTTTAAAAGCAGTTTGGCCCTCCATTCTTCCCAGCAGGTACCTAAAACTTGGTCAAGGTTAACCCCTGCATCTGACAGGCATCCTCTAAACCTTGTAGTAACACAGGAACTTGGTCATGTGTTAAACTTTTGAGTGATGTAAAAATAAACAAAACCACCTTGAAACAGCTACTGATCATTGAAGAACTTTGTACTAAGAAGCAAAACTCAAAATCCTCATTTGCAAAATCTGCTCATCAGTCATTTGGCACTATACAAATTAGTCATCACTTCCATAGCACAGCTTCCTTAGTCCAATTCTGCAGAAGCAAAGCTGAGCTGCTCCTGCAAGTGGCTACTCTAGAATACAGGCAGTCTCTTCTATGTGCTAAGCAAGTCCTTCACCTCCAACTGTCATTATTCTTTAAAAAATGAAACCAACCACACTTTTTTCCCACTGGAATGCAAAATAGAAGTTGCATAGGAATATGTAAGAGAGAGCCCAGCTGGGAGGAAGCAAAAGAAAAAAGAAAATAACCTGCTGGATTTATGTTCTTATAAACATCAGGACCAGAACTGAAAATAGCAGGAGCTGGGAAAATTGATAAGAGATTAGGAAACCATGTGAGCAAACTGACAGGGAAAGGACAAAGCAGGCAGACCTGGACAATGTTGTCAGGAAACCACCTTTATGAGGTGATCCCAAAGGGGAACTGCTACTTACTACATCACGTATAGAAAAGGTTAGAAAGGGGATTTGGGACAGAGAAACCTTTATGGAACTCCATAACATACCAACATCTTATCATCTAACTTTTGCAGTAGCATAAACAGCTACTGTGTGTATGAAACTAATTTAAAGACTGTGCAATAAAGTGAGTTGTTAGGAGGTTTTTTTGTTAGGATCTTTTAATTTTTTGTTTTTAAATACACAAACTAAAAGCAGTGATGTGACCAGGCACTAAGCATTAAAACAGTATAAGAACATTTAGATGTCATACTAAACTTCCTGAAGACCAAAGTTCTAAGTTGCTTCTACAACCAAAAATGCAGTCCTTCTGTGCAGTATCTTACTTACTTTAATGCTATCTTTTCCCATGGATAGTACACAATGAGAACAGCACTCGAAGCAAATCACCAGTGAGTAAGACTGGCTGCTAACATGAGCAGTAGCCACTAGAGAGAAACTGCTCTGTCACATTTCCCCAGCACTACAACAGCCTACAGAACAGGACAAAACTAATTTCTTCCAATTTTAGTCCCATGCCTATTTCCTTAGATGCCTGCTGCAGCAACTGGAATAAGACAGCTCTGGATCATCTGCAGATGAAGTTTATTCCCCAAACTGACTGAAACAGAGGTTCTCCAAAACCTTCACCAAATACCCAGAAACTACCACAAGAATATATATGCAGGAAAGTTACTATTCTAATTATGAATCTGTACATCCTATTGAGTCTGTAGCCTTAGCAATATGACATTATATACACAAGTATACTAAGGGTAGAAACAAACATAGGAACAGCTCAAATAGTGGATGAACTATAAAACAACCAACTACCTTTAGCTGGAAAAAAAAAAGCAAAACCCAAAACCTAAAAGTTACACTCTTAGAGCACATCATTGCTCAATACAGTCTTGCCAACAATTATGTAAGCGTAATGTATCATGATAGACAGCCCAGTAATTGTGAAGCACCACATATTGCCAGATTTAATCAGCTAATGCTGTTAATGGCAGCCACCTGTCTGTATCGACCAGCACAGTGAAGGTGTGCCTGTAAACCCTCCTCTCACCATACGTTCCCGCTGCACAAATACAATTCCAAGTGGACCTTGACAATCCTCACCCACTTTGGGTGCATGGGATTGATTAGATGCTATATAGATGATGCAACATGGGCAAGCCTTACGTTTCTTCCCGAACTCAGAGAAGGCACCACAAAGCAACTGCTTCCTAAGCTGACATTGGAAAGTTACAAATAAAGATACTCAGAAGCATGAGATAGCTATCTGTGACCACTGCTTAACACCCATGTAAATAGCTAGGAAACTAGCAGGACCTGAACAAGGATCCAGTTGTCCAGCTGGAACTGAGGTTCATTTCTACAGAAGATCTTTATGCCTATTTATAAGTGTAATGCACCCTTCATTAGTTACTAACTCAACATGCAAAACATAAGCAGCACTGATTTAACTCATATGCCCTACGTGACTTCCTCAAATTGGATGGACATTATGATTGTCTGAAAGGCTTTTTCAGACCTAAAACCTTCAGCTACTTGGGATTACTAAACAGATGCTGTAGCCTAATTCTTTGTTTGCATGTGCATTATGTATATAAATGCTGCTCAAAGGAGAAAAGTTCTCTCAAGCTGAATGCTTAGCACATCTCAGGGTGCACTCACACCCATCTTTCCCATACAGTGCAAGTGGACAGGGCACAGTCTTCTTTACAGATCCTCTCACCTTCCAGAGGACAAACTTACTGCTTTTGGTTGTATTCAACCACCACTGTGCTGCAAATATAAAAAAACCCAGTAAAAATACCCCAATCTCCATTAGGATATTCTTACTTCATTACTTTATTTCCCAGTTCTAGTCTTATTTGTTTTTCTGATAGATGCTCATCTTTTCTGGCTACTATTAAGCTTCTGCAGCCTTATCATGTACCCGCAAAGCGGTACTCCCTTTGGATAGACAAGAACAGATGCATTTCTGCTTGACTTAAAATCTGACTAAGTCTCTGCATGCCATTTCTGATCTGCAAAGGAGATCATCTGCCCAACATAACAGGAGCTATGAATATATAATGGCCATTCTTTCACCATAAAGACAGTAACATTCAGATGTTGATATGATAACGGTGTACTACATGAGCAAGTGGTGGCATAAAATCACTGCTCCTGCTTGAGGAAGTAGCTAAGGAATCCAAAATTAGATTTGCATAAGAATCCTCATTTGCACAAGCCCCAGTTACACTAATTTAATGCTTAAGATGTCTTAACCTGTATCACACTGATGGGCCACAGAAGAGGAGGACTACATGCTACAGCCCAACTTCTTTAACCAGGGACTTCTAAGCAAGTCCTGTTCCTTCTCAGAGGCTCACCTGGAGTAGCACCTGTGCTAAGCATGGTCTGTCCTTAACATTCCCATCAATTGTATTCCCTTTGGGCAGACGTCCAATGTACGCCTTTCCATATTGCTCCTGCAACAACTTCTGCAAGGAGTGGGAAGATGGAATGACACTATATGATTCCAACTGCCCTGGAACAGCAAAGACAGTTGCAGATAAGCCTTATGGAGTGCATGGGCTGCACCTTCACTGAGGACTAGACCAAGACTTAGGACACTGCCTCCAGCCAAACCTCAGCTTTCTGCAGCTCATGAGCTGGAAATTAGCTGGCTCACAGATAGAGCAGATTCCCAGCAGGAGACATCTTAATCTAGAGCAGGATCAGCAAAGAAGAGTCCACTAATAAGTAATTGAATGTGTATTTCCATGGGGAGAAGGGGATCACTCATGAAAGCTTGTTTCTTGAAGATTCATCTTGAAGTTATTTTGCAAGTGGACATTTCTCCATGTGTACCCCCTCTCCCCAAGTCACCAATGAAGGCAAAAAACCCAAACCCCAAAATCCAAATCCCAGTGCTGTTTTCTGCAATTTTTAGCAAGAGCACAAGTAAAAGTCACCTGAAAGGTTACAAGTTCTTTGACAGTTTAAAACCTGAAATTTACAGCCTCATCATACAGCCTTTTACAGAGTAAGATTTCTCTCTGCACTGGTATTTTATTTATTCCTACAGGTGGAGATCTTTTAAAGAGTTGAATATCAACCTATTTTATTTCTGTCATCTATTCCCCAGTCTTATTCACCTATTCAACAAATGATTTCTGCTCCCTTCCTGTCTCCCATACCTGACGTTAACATGACACATGCTTTAACTTTTCTTTCAGGCAATAAATATTACTCACTAAAACATCACAATGGGTTTCTTTTCTTAACAGAAACTTTTCAGTGATTGCAGTGAGATTTAGTACTAAGTATAACTGTTTATGTGGAGAGCTCTAAGGTAGAGCTATCATCTGAATACTCATACATAACAGGGAAACTTCTGTGACATTACTAAAGCCATTCCTGAGTGTACTGAACAGATGCCATCAGTTCCCCTCCTACTTTTGCCACCACGCAGAGTGCTTTTCTATCATAGAAATTCCCCTCAGAATTTCAAAACCTTCAAAAGAAAAGGAAAGGAAAGAAAGAAGCGCCTGCAGATGGAGAACAGAAACATGCAGTAACACATGTTCAACGCACATTGAAAAGCTGCCAAGCAGTGTGACATAAAA